ATATCCGAAAACTTTATCGCTATAAGGCCGTCAACGCACTCGTTACTCCTCCGTTGTTGAAGGTGTCCATGGACGGCGCTGATTGCTTACCATCAGGTAATCCGACTGTATGTTTGCCGAACTATACTATAAAAAAGAAATGCTGAGGATGATGTTGAGGATGAGAAATTATAAATGTTTACTCACCATGGCCGACATTAGGCCCAGCATGAGACACAGTAAGGAGAGCCACTTCATTATGCTGTAGGCTCTTCGTGCAGTCACAAAAAACATTAATCTAAACCCTTTTATATACCACAGCTACATTTAATTAAGGATCTAATATCCAAGGGTGACGGATCAATCTTGAGTGACGGTTTTATTTATTGATTTCGTATGATTTATTATGGTAAGTATGCTTAGATAAAAAACATGTTATAAATATTTTTTCTTTTACTAGTGTTCGGACATAATCTTTGTACCTACAGTTACTATCATATCACCTACTTTTTACCCGACTGCCAAAGAAGGAGGGTAATGTTTTTCGAGTGTATGTAAGTATGTATGTATGTCTTTTCCTTTGTGACCTCCTGTAGCCTAAACGGCTTGATGGATTTTGATGTATGAGGTATCGTTAGATTTGTCTTGATTACGGGAGTGTCATAGGATACATTTTATCCTAAAAGTCCCATGGGATAAAGACATAATAATATTTTTTCTAAATTTCCCTTTAAAAAATATGAATGCGGTATCATTAGATTCATTTCAATCACGGGAGTAATTAATATAGGATACGTTTTTTCTCAAAATTCCCACGGGAACATGTTAATTCTGCGTCAACGCAAAGCAACTCATGCGTTAGCAAGCAAAAAGATAGGGCGTGGCCTGGCATGCGGCGCCAAATGTCGTCGAAATAATTTAAAATGGTACTTACATATACATAGTCTTCTACATCTACAACATTTTCGTTAAATAAATACAGCTAAAAAGTTATAAATAAAAAAATTATTATTAAAAAAACAAAATACCCGACTGCACACTAAAAAAAGAGTAAAACAAACCCCACAATACAAATTTACTGAATATAATTTATAAATGTTGATGGAAAGCATCGCAGGCGGGGACCACCTTGACCGCCACCAACGAAAATTCTGCTAAATGGTGCACAACAGAAATGACTATAAATAAGCCTCTGTTGGTCCCCGCCTGCGATGCTTTCCATCAACATTTATAAATTATATTCAGTAAATTTGTATTGTGGGGTTTGTTTTACTCTTTTTTTAGTGTGCAGTCGGGTATTTTGTTTTTTTAATAATAATTTTTTTATTTAAATTGAAAAGACTTTTATCAAGCATAATTTCCTGATTTTCTTCAATTAATTTGTCGTTCAAATCATTTTCTTTTTTTTAGTTTCACTTCTTTATCCTCGCCTAAATCCTATCGGTTTTACTTTTACCGTACCTTAGGCGTGTTTTCACCAGCCGGGGCCGCGGGGTAAGCGCAATGAGGCACCGCGACCTCGGCCCAGAGCAGGAGAAGGAACGGGGGGGTTTTTAGTCAGTAAGAGTTTAACACTCTCTCTCGCCTTACCCTGGACGAGAGAAGTCATTGGATGATTTTCCTCTGATAAAAAAAAGGCGTGGTTTCACGGCGATTTTGTATAAGTTCATGGTTTCAGTCGGGTTCTAGTTGATTTGAAGGCGTTAGAGTGAGAAGATATACGTTATGGATTGTATGTCCATTTGTTGAAATGTATTTCATTACTAATAAATTAAATTATACTTTTTACAATTTAAATAAAATGTCCACTTCCTCGGAGATAATTGTTCTAAAATAATAATTTAGAAATATACACAACCTTATCTAATTTTCTAACATTATTTTTCGTAAATAAAAGTAGAAATATAGTCATACTAATACTCATGTATGTATATAGTAATATAATACAGAGATTGTCACGGATTAACATTTGAATTTAATTAAAAATATGACTCATATCGAGGAGTAGTCGTACTAATATTATAAATGTGATAGTTTGTGAGAATGTATGGTATGTTTGTTTGTTATTCTTTTACTCAAAAATTACTGTACCGATTTGGTTGACATTTAGTATGTAGATAGATGACATTCTGGATTAACACATAGACTGTTTATGAATATACCGCGCATGTGAAGCCGCAAGCAGAAGCTCGTACGATGACTCTTATCATTTCACGATATTTTCGAGTGTGATTTATACCACAGCCTCACAGAAGAACAACACATGAAACAAAGCATTCGTTGTGTCTCAATCATTCCCAATATGTACATCCCTAAAAGGCTTTTCTTTGAAGAAGAAATTATCTAATCACTTCCCTCGTCCAGTGCAAGAGAGAGTGTCAGATTGTTACTGACTAAAAACCTCCCGTTCCTTATCCTGCTCTGGCCCAAAGACTTAGTACCTTACCGCGGTACAGAAAGCGGAGACGGCTTTCCAGTTCCTTGACAAAGGCTGGATGGTAGAGGTCACTGCGGCCGATCACTTACCTGAGAACATGGGCACATCGGCACCGTACCTATGCTTCACCGTGTCTTCTGTGTGGTCTCCACAATGACGACACCCAGGCGTGCCCGGTAAGCACATGCGTCAGCTGGCAGTTGAGGACACCATGACTACGTTTCTCAAGCCACTGCTCAAAGGATATCCTGCTATAACAGCGTGTCCATGCTTGCTCAGCATAGATTGATGATTTCGAAGTTATAGTTAAAAATTTATAGTGGGATTTCCTCAGGAAATTTACTTTAACTAGCTGCCGCCCGCAGCTCCGCCCGCGTTGTTGCTGATTTTACATTATTTCAAGAGTTTTTTTTTATTTAATCCACGTACAAACCCTCTCTGGACTTCCACGAATAATTCAAGACCATACTTAGACAAATCGGTAAACGCATTGTTTTATATAATTATACATAGATAGAAGATATGTCAGCAAACTTGAAAATGATTAAAGGTAACAGTAAAAATAATTAGGTAAGCAAGCACTTATAGTTTAGTGGTAAATCGATCGACTCAAATTAACACAATGCAATTTCTAGATTGGACATATAATGTATAGACACATTGCACGTTGTCATTCGCTGAAACCCTGAATTTTTCATGAAGGTAGCTTTACGATCGATATTACAGGACACGGTTAATAGTCAGTCGATTCACTATCAAGTTTAGATTTCATGCAACTATTGTTTCTTTTTTTATGGTTAGCAAACGAGCAAATTAATTACCTGATGGTAAGCAAAATCAGCTTCGTCCATGGACACTCTCAAAGAAATTAATACAAGTGCGTTTCCGGCCTTTTCTTGGTTATTGGGTATTTAAGGATTACCTAAGGATAGGAAATTTGGGGATTGAGAATTGTGGTGGGGGATTGGGAAGGTAGGGACCTCCGTTAACCTCAAACGGTGAAACATAACGTTCCCGTTTTCTTCCATTATTCCCCGTTTATCTCGAACCTTTTACCTTTAGGCACATAGTTTTTAATAATTGTGCAATTTCACAACTTTTCAATATTAAGAATGATTAAAGTATAGGTAATTAGACTTTTATTCATTTATTTACGATATACTAAATCTATACCTAATATATAAAAGAAAGTCGTGTTAGTTACACTATTTATAACTCAAGAACGGCTAAACCTATTTGGCTGAAAATTCGTAGGGAGGTAAGAATCTCCCAGTTCCCAGGACATAGGATAGAGTAGGGAGTAGGTAGAGTAGGGTAGGTAAAGTAGGGTAGGTAGAGTAGGGTAGGTAAAGTAGGGTAGGTAGAGTAGGGTAGGTATTTTGTTCCTAATTTCTCATAAATAAGTGTGACGTAAAAACATAACAATGTCATGTCGCAATTTAATACAAAATTCATAGAAAAGCATCGTTTTAAACATTTCAATAAAAGTATTGAATTTAAATAGGTAGATAGTTGGAAACTATCGTATTGTTTTAAACAGCAAATACATATATCGTAGAATTTAAAATAATGTATACTTCTTTTTTTATTGTATTGAGAACTAATTGATGTATATCGTAATTACCCGACTGCCAAAGAAGGAGGGTAATGTTTTTCGAGTGTATGTAAGTATGTATGTATGTCTTTTCCTTTGTGACCTCCTGTAGCCTAAACGGCTTGATGGATTTTGATGTATGAGGTATCGTTAGATTTGTCTTGATTACGGGAGTGTCATAGGATACATTTTATCCTAAAAGTCCCACGGGATAAAGACATAATAATATTTTTTCTAAATTTCCCTTTAAAAAATATGAATGCGGTATCATTAGATTCATTTCAATCACGGGAGTAATTAATATAGGATACGTTTTTTCTCAAAATTCCCACGGGAACATGTTAATTCTGCGTCAACGCAAAGCAACTCATGCGTTAGCAAGCAAAAAGATAGGGCGTGGCCTGGCATGCGGCGCCAAATGTCGTCGAAATAATTTAAAATGGTACTTACATATACATAGTCTTCTACATCTACAACATTTTCGTTAAATAAATACAGCTAAAAAGTTATAAATAAAAAAATTATTATTAAAAAAACAAAATACCCGACTGCACACTAAAAAAAGAGTAAAACAAACCCCACAATACAAATTTACTGAATATAATTTATAAATGTTGATGGAAAGCATCGCAGGCGGGGACCACCTTGACCGCCACCAACGAAAATTCTGCTAAATGGTGCACAACAGAAATGACTATAAATAAGCCTCTGTTGGTCCCCGCCTGCGATGCTTTCCATCAACATTTATAAATTATATTCAGTAAATTTGTATTGTGGGGTTTGTTTTACTCTTTTTTTAGTGTGCAGTCGGGTATTTTGTTTTTTTAATAATAATTTTTTTATTTAAATTGAAAAGACTTTTATCAAGCATAATTTCCTGATTTTCTTCAATTAATTTGTCGTTCAAATCATTTTCTTTTTTTTAGTTTCACTTCTTTATCCTCGCCTAAATCCTATCGGTTTTACTTTTACCGTACCTTAGGCGTGTTTTCACCAGCCGGGGCCGCGGGGTAAGCGCAATGAGGCACCGCGACCTCGGCCCAGAGCAGGAGAAGGAACGGGGGGGTTTTTAGTCAGTAAGAGTTTAACACTCTCTCTCGCCTTACCCTGGACGAGAGAAGTCATTGGATGATTTTCCTCTGATAAAAAAAAGGCGTGGTTTCACGGCGATTTTGTATAAGTTCATGGTTTCAGTCGGGTTCTAGTTGATTTGAAGGCGTTAGAGTGAGAAGATATACGTTATGGATTGTATGTCCATTTGTTGAAATGTATTTCATTACTAATAAATTAAATTATACTTTTTACAATTTAAATAAAATGTCCACTTCCTCGGAGATAATTGTTCTAAAATAATAATTTAGAAATATACACAACCTTATCTAATTTTCTAACATTATTTTTCGTAAATAAAAGTAGAAATATAGTCATACTAATACTCATGTATGTATATAGTAATATAATACAGAGATTGTCACGGATTAACATTTGAATTTAATTAAAAATATGACTCATATCGAGGAGTAGTCGTACTAATATTATAAATGTGATAGTTTGTGAGAATGTATGGTATGTTTCTTTGTTATTCTTTTACTCAAAAATTACTGTACCGATTTGGTTGACATTTAGTATGTAGATAGATGACATTCTGGATTAACACATAGACTGTTTATGAATATACCGCGCATGTGAAGCCGCAAGCAGAAGCTCGTACGATGACTCTTATCATTTCACGATATTTTCGAGTGTGATTTATACCACAGCCTCACAGAAGAACAACACATGAAACAAAGCATTCGTTGTGTCTCAATCATTCCCAATATGTACATCCCTAAAAGGCTTTTCTTTGAAGAAGAAATTATCTAATCACTTCCCTCGTCCAGTGCAAGAGAGAGTGTCAGATTGTTACTGACTAAAAACCTCCCGTTCCTTATCCTGCTCTGGCCCAAAGACTTAGTACCTTAGCGCGGTACAGAAAGCGGAGACGGCTTTCCAGTTCCTTGACAAAGGCTGGATGGTAGAGGTCACTGCGGCCGATCACTTACCTGAGAACATGGGCACATCGGCACCGTACCTATGCTTCACCGTGTCTTCTGTGTGGTCTCCACAATGACGACACCCAGGCGTGCCCGGTAAGCACATGCGTCAGCTGGCAGTTGAGGACACCATGACTACGTTTCTCAAGCCACTGCTCAAAGGATATCCTGCTATAACAGCGTGTCCATGCTTGCTCAGCATAGATTGATGATTTCGAAGTTATAGTTAAAAATTTATAGTGGGATTTCCTCAGGAAATTTACTTTAACTAGCTGCCGCCCGCAGCTCCGCCCGCGTTGTTGCTGATTTTACATTATTTCAAGAGTTTTTTTTTATTTAATCCACGTACAAACCCTCTCTGGACTTCCACGAATAATTCAAGACCATACTTAGACAAATCGGTAAACGCATTGTTTTATATAATTATACATAGATAGAAGATATGTCAGCAAACTTGAAAATGATTAAAGGTAACAGTAAAAATAATTAGGTAAGCAAGCACTTATAGTTTAGTGGTAAATCGATCGACTCAAATTAACACAATGCAATTTCTAGATTGGACATATAATGTATAGACACATTGCACGTTGTCATTCGCTGAAACCCTGAATTTTTCATGAAGGTAGCTTTACGATCGATATTACAGGACACGGTTAATAGTCAGTCGATTCACTATCAAGTTTAGATTTCATGCAACTATTGTTTCTTTTTTTATGGTTAGCAAACGAGCAAATTAATTACCTGATGGTAAGCAAAATCAGCTTCGTCCATGGACACTCTCAAAGAAATTAATACAAGTGCGTTTCCGGCCTTTTCTTGGTTATTGGGTATTTAAGGATTACCTAAGGATAGGAAATTTGGGGATTGAGAATTGTGGTGGGGGATTGGGAAGGTAGGGACCTCCGTTAACCTCAAACGGTGAAACATAACGTTCCCGTTTTCTTCCATTATTCCCCGTTTATCTCGAACCTTTTACCTTTAGGCACATAGTTTTTAATAATTGTGCAATTTCACAACTTTTCAATATTAAGAATGATTAAAGTATAGGTAATTAGACTTTTATTCATTTATTTACGATATTTTTTTTTTTATTTAATAGGTCGGCAAACGAGCATACGGATTACCTGATGGTAAGCAATCAGCGCCGCCCATGGACACTCGCAACAGAGGAGTTACGAGTGCGTTGCCGACCTTTTAGGGATTAGGGATTTGGAGATTTAGGGATTTAGGAGGGATTGGGGGAGGTGAAGGATTGGGCCTCCGGTAACCTCACTCAATCAATCAATGTACTATGTTTGTATTCATTTTATAGTATTGGGAAATCCAAATAATTAATTTTGATTTTGACCAAGTCAAAAGGTACACTAATTGCGACCTCTAACCCGCATTGACTACTCTCAACTAACTTAGTTTTGCTTAAATATAACAAGGATAAAAATAAAGCACAAATCGACAAAATGATATCAACACCAATATATTCAAGTTACAGTATAAAACTCGACTACATACAAAATAATCTCGACAATCGCAGCGATGGCTAGTGAGATACACGTGGCAATGCGACTGTATACCTTCAAACTGTGCGATACAGTCGCAGGTGTTGGTGTATTTTCCACGACTTCAAGGTCACGTCGCATCCGTTCGAGGGGGAACACAGCACGCCACGGTGCGTCCTGAAATAACTTAAATATATTCTGAACTCTGCTAGAAGTATTATGACATAAGTCGGCAAACGAGACGACGGTTTACCTGATGGTAAGCAATCGGCGCCCCCCATGGACACACGCAACCCCAAAAGGAGTTAAGAGTACAGTAGGCTGCGCGACGTCGCCGCGTTCGCGCACGCTGCTCATGAGGAAGAACCCCTCTGTGGTTCGAAACTAGTAGAGTTTTTCTCAATATTTACACGTGAGTAACCCGCGATTTTTAGTTAATTTAGTATGTCTCACGATAGTTATTATAAAAACAGTTAAGAGTACGTTGCGGAATAAGGGTTGCGGATATTTAAGTATTAGGAAGGGTTAGAGGAAGGAAAGGGATTGGGTCTCCGGTAACCTCACTGATACGGCGAAACACAACGCTGTGGTTGTTTCAGCGCGGATTGGCTATGTTGCATCGCTTATTTTAGAAACTAAAAAATAAACTTTATAATAACGTACCTTTTCAGGAACAAATGCTGGATTCAATTCCTGGGGCATCAATGCTGATTGGATATCTGCATCACTTAATAACTGATTCTGCAATGATTTAAATTTTATTATTAGTTACATATTAATTCAGAACAGAAGTGGCTGATGTGGGCCAAAAGGCGGTAAAATTAAAATGGAACTGGGCCGGACTCGACAGCCGAATGCATCCGGAGAGATGGGCCACTATTGTCACACAGTGGACACCTCAGGAGTTTCGTCTTCAGTAGGAGAGCCAATATATTTGACAGCTCAGATCATCACTCATCAGCGATTTCTGATAAACTTGAACCTTATATGTATACTGGGACGAATAGAGAGCAGTAAGTCTTATCGACACTCAAAAGTAAAATCATACCTATTTTTTAACCGACTTCAAAAAAAGGAGGAGGTTCTCAATTCGATTGTATTTTTTTTTTTTTTTTTTTTTTTATTTTTTTTTTTATGTTTGTTACCTCAGAACTCCGTCGTTTATGGACGGATTTGCAAAATTTTTTTTATGATTGAAGGGATATGCTTCCAGATTGGTCCCATCCTTTTCAAAATTGAGTTTTGATGATGGGATCCATGAGAAATCGAGGGAACTCCTCAAATATTATAGGCAACTATATAGTAATTTTAATATTTTCATAGAGCACTCAAGCATTTACAGTCAAAAAGTAATATTTGATGGGGTGGAACTGGTGAAGAAGATCAGAAATGGGTGATGAAACTTGACACTCGCATAGATATCACAATCAAGGTAGTTCAGCAACTATGAAAATGCACTGTAAACCAATGATCTTAAATAATTATGTTGGAAATGTTATCATCGAACTGATTTAATGATGATTATGGAGCTGGAAGGTAGGCACTGGAACTGCGTACCTAATTAATATATCCTAGCCGTGTTTGGGCTTGTTAGAATTGTTATAAGATGCACTTTGGCTGTAAGGTACTATTGAACTGATGTGATGATGAAGCTGGAAGGTTGGCATGGGGCCTAGTATTGTGTAAGCTTATTAGAGCTGTCAAGAGCAATGGAAAGGGCTATGCTCATAGTTTCCGTGCATGTTCGAATCAGAAATGAAGAAATCCGCAGAAGAACCAGCGTCACCGACATAGCCCGAAGAAATGCCAAACTTAAGTGACAGTGGGCACGGCACATTGCTCGTAGAACAGATGGCCGATGGGGCCGAAAGGTTCTAGAGCGGGACCGCACACCTTTGGGGGCGGAGTTTGGCCTAGTATTGGCTATTTTGCATTAGTCCACGTGGACTGCGTTTACACATTAGTGGTGAAATGCGTCATTGTGTTCTTATCGTTTTCCTGGTAATAGGCTAAGAGAATTCATTGGCATTTTTAACAAAACAGTCGTTTTAAATGGGTTACAAAACAATAATTGCGTCGTACAAAACAATAATTGTGTTTCTTTTGTGTGCACATATGTAGATAATACTTACTTAAAAAAGGTTCATACATTGAATGACTCATAAATGTATATTTACAATAGCGATGGTCTTTTGTATTTTTACCAACTTGTCTATATATGAATGTTCTTAGTAATAACAAAATAGTATTCTTCATTTAATGGGTTACAATTGATACAAAACAATAATTGCATCGGTCTTTTTTCTATGTACGAATGTATTTAATCATAGATACTAAATTAGATTGCATTTGGTATCTTTGAACTTTATCTGTCTGTTGATGAAAATATCTAGTTTTTTGTTATTTGGCGAGAACTAATATGAATTTATGATAAGATTATTATTTTTTTTAACTATAAGTCATAAGTATCTCATGCATCATATCATCTCTCCTCGAGATCAAAACGATTACACAGTAACAATGTACTATGATATGTATTTCTACGTATAAGTATGACATTGGTAACTTTTTCAAAAGAAATGTAGGAACGATATTGACTTCTTTGCCATAACACATTATAATAAAAAAAAACACTAAACGGCTACAAATAAAAAAAAATTTTACAAAATAAAAAAACCGCCTTCAAAAAAAGTCAAGCAATAAAAGTTCCTACACTAAAAAGTAAAAAATAACAATTTGAATTACTGTAAAAAAACTTAGTTTATAGGTAAACTTATTTGACATTAATATTTTGCAAATATTCAAAATTTATTACTTATTTTTGGAGTCGGTGCCAGCCCATGCAAGGAAATACAAATGGGCAACAATCCCTTGAAAAACTACCTCTTACTTAATTATAAAACTACTTAATACCTATTTGCATACTCAAATATAGGTATATTAATTAAGACATAAATACAGATTAGACTTCTCTACAAAAAATGTCCGATTTGCACATTTTTTTTAAATAAAAAATATATACTTACAAAAACATTTTAAGTACATTGAAAATGTTTAAGCAATGTACGAAAAATGGCACCGGATATTAAAAAGCTAACTAACATTAAGTTTCAACATTAAAATGCTGGCACCGACTCCAAAAATAAGTAATAAATTTTGAATATTTGCAAAATATTAATGTCAAATAAGTTTACCTATAAACTAAGTTTTTTTACAGTAATTCAAATTGTTATTTTTTACTTTTTAGTGTAGGAACTTTTATTGCTTGACTTTTTTTGAAGGCGGTTTTTTTATTTTGTAAAATTTTTTTTAATCATATAAACGAATGCTTGGCTGCAATCCCATTTGATGGTAAGCAGTGATGCAATCGTTTGATGATAAGGCGCACTCGTTTATTAAGAGCCTATTCACTCTAGCCTTGAAGACACCTAAATCATAACTGGCCGGGAAGACCTTGTAGGCAAGCTATTCCAATCCTTAGACATGCATGGTATAAATGATGAAGCGAAAACTTCAATCTATACCTCTGCATACCACTTTATGAAATAAAAGCGGATCGTTTTAACTTACGATTTATATTATGTATATGTAAAAGTGTATAAATAGTTAAATACTAACTGTTTGTTTTAAATTAGTACCATAAGCTGACTGCGGCTGGAATAAAAAGGTTATATACAAATTAAATGCATGTTGACTCCTATGTCGCCACCTTACAGCTTCTAGACAACACGTTATATTTCGTTATGTGAATTTTACATTATCGAAAGAACAATCCTTTCTTCATTTTTTTTTCTACTGCTGCGGTGGTGGTTATTTAAGCACCTAAATGTACCAATCCTTAAATCTCAAATCAATCAATCAATCAATGCTAGAAACATTTCTATAGTCTGATGGATCTTCGAAGCACTTGTAAAACGCGACGCGCCGTATACTTTGGTTCGGTTTTGGTCCCCCGCTAAGGAAGGTTGAAGATTATTATCCTTAAAGCTTTTTCTTTTGTTAGGGGAAATCCATCAAACGACTTCTCTCATCCACAGTAAGAGGGAGTGTCATACTCTTACTGACTAAAGACCTCCATTTTCCTTCTCCTGCTCCAGGCTGAGGCCTAATTACGCTTGCCCCGCAACCCCGGCTGAACATCGGCTCTGTTGGGCTTCGTCTGTAGTGGTCTATCAATTCTTTGAGGCTTGTGCGGAGGAAAGTTACGCGCCGTACGCACGGGTCTGGTTCTGGTCGGGCGGCGAGCTACTTTTGCTCGCCGTCCGTCCACTTACGTTGGCGATCCTTAATACTTTAATAGTATTTGGGCCGAGGTCTGATTGGATAGTTCCGCCACGGTCTCCATTCACGGTCATCATTCCTTTTTGAGCATGATTGCACGTTACCAACATATTCTCTACCGAGTGTCCTTTGAGAGGGTGAGGAGGGATTGAACTTCCGACAAACACAATCACCCGATGTTGATATTGTTGTTGATTGCTTGCTAATGCATTCATTACGGCTACAATACTACTCTGTCAAGAAAGTACCGGGAAAAAGTCAATAATACACAAAATGTTTGTTATTCATCTCAATTTATTTTATCACCTTCAAAGTATGCTCCTTCAGAAACGATACACTTACGTCAACGAATAATCCAATCATCGAAACTTTTTTTAAACGCTGTTTCCGGAATTGAGTTCAGTGCTCGCCGCGAATTCTCCTTTATGTCTTCTAACGATTGAAAACGGGTGCCACGAAGGGGTAATTTGAGTGTGGGAAAAAGAAAGAAGTCGGCTGGAGCCATATCTGGTGAATATGGTGGCTGCTCGATAGTGTTTGTTGAGTGTTTGGACAAAAAATCGTTTACAATGATGGCCTTGTGCGAAGGCGCATTATCGTGATGCAAAATCCAAGAATTTTCTTTCCACATTTCTGGCCTTTTTCGTCGAATTTGTTCTCTTAAACGCCGCATAACGCTCAAATAATATTCTTTATTAACCGTTTGATCTTCGGGCAAGAATTCTGAGTGCACAACACCGCGATAGTCAAAGAACAGTCAACATGACTTTGACTTTTGATCGACTTTGACGTGGTTTTTTCGGTTTTGGTTCAGTTGGAAGGCGCCATTCCGAAGCTTGTTGACTAGTTTGCATGTCAAACTCGTAAACTCACGTCTCGTCACCAGTAACAATGCGTTTCATGAATGTTGGGTCGGTATTGACTCGTTCTAGCATGTCCTCAGCGACTTTCATGCGATTTAGTTTTTGAAGAAAATTCAGGTCTTTTGTGTTTCATACCCAAATTATTTGTTAAAATGGTACGGATCGACTCGTGAGATACAGAAAGTTCGGCGGCCATCTCTCTCAAACTTGAATGAGGATTTTCAGTCACTATTTCCTTCACTTTTGCGATGTTAACTTCAGTTGCAGACGTTGATAGCCTACCAGAACGAGGCAAATCTTCCATCACATCTCGACAGCTTTTGAACGCTTTGTACCACTCATAAGCACGTGTTTTTGATAAAGTCGATTCACCGTAAGCCTTCTGTAACATTTTGAGTGCCTCCGAACACGAAATTTCATTGGCGATGCAAAATTTAAGACAAACTCTTTGTTCGATGTTTTTGTCCATTATGAAATTCGCAATACACACTAGATATTATAAAACTATAAACAGCACTGTTTTTAATATAAATAACAGATGCAACTCAAATTCCGCGCACAAATGGAAAACAGTTATGCCAATCTAAAAACACCAAAAAAAATTAAAATTCGAATTTGGAACCATAAAAAAAAACATTCATTCCCGATACTTTGTTGACTGAATGTATATCGATCTAGCAGTGTCGCCTATGTACTTTAAAGCCACACGTATTCGCGTATTATGTAGCTAGTTTCAAATCCTAGTAATATTATAAACGCGAAGGATTTATAAGGTTGTATGAAGCGATGGAGGAAAGTTTGTCACTCTTTCACTTAAAAAAAAGCCGTTGCAGTAATTCGTGGATTGTACTGGAACGTTTATAATCACGTATTTAAATTTACTTACTTATCATCAGTTTTCCTATAATTACAATGTACCTATAATAGGGTGTGATTCTATTACCATACATCGGCCACTAATCGCAACTATGGAGTTTCTTGCCCGTTCTTCTCCATTCGAATCTACACTTTGGGACGAGCGCTTAGCTTCACTGACGAACAGACTGGAAGACTTATTTTATTTTGATGTTATAAAAGTATTTGTTTATGGATTAGTTGACTTTAGCTTTGACTTCGAATCCGTGCTTTACTTTAACCTTAATCCTTCCCCTAGCCCATTACTCCCCAATCCTTAAATATTCAAAACTCTAATCCCGATGCAATGCACTCATAACTCCTTTGGTGATCCCAATGATCAGATAACGGGTACGTCCGTTGGCCATAATATGAGTAAATTAATTTTAAAGTGCACCTAAAACATTAGGACTTCTAAAACTTTCATGAACACCTTTTCAGAAAAGACTAAGGTAGCTGGAATTCGAAACTTAGAACGCTTGGTAGGCAGCTGGTATTTGTTTTCTTAGTCAACAAAAAAGAATAATAAAAAAATATTTTATTAAAAAAATTATAAAAAACAGTATCCCACGGGTAACGGGAAGAATCCATGCTACCGGCGTACTGCAGGGAAGACATCCCTGAAAAGGAATTTCCGGACGGAAAGTCTTCCGGTTACCAGGGAGATGCCATTTTATTATATTTTTAGAATAATAATATTTTTGTAAATATTAACCGCACTCAAAAACGAGACATCAAACGTCGTCATAGTCTTGAAACTTAGTTTATTGAAATAAAAACTTATTAAAATAATTTATGAAATTCACACCCGGTTTCTGAAAGGCTTGTCAACGCTAAAATTAACTAATCTCCTGTTAAATCTCTTGTCAAATTCATCTGATTGGGTGTAGATAATACAGTCAACCAATCAGATGCCTTGAAAAGAGATTAAATTGATTTTAACATTGATCGGCCTTTCGGAAACCGGGTGTTAGAGTCACAAATTCGCCCTCTCTCTCATACCATCCCGCTCTCTCTCAACAGCCTTGACACCCAGTCCTTTCATCCTCGCATATATAAATTATATTATATGCTGCACGTTCAAAGGAAAATAGAAACTTTATAAAGAAATGATAATTACTGAGAAATAGACACAAAGACTGCAATTTACTACTAAGAATGGCACCACCTGCATTCAGACGCTTCAAATTACACTGTCTGTCTGTTTGTCTGTTAAAAGTTAGCACTATGTATACCTATGATATCAAGAATGATTTTATCTGGAGAATGGAGTTGGAGATTATATAGTATGGTTTGAATGATTTAATCTGTGGATGAGTGGAGTAGAAGATATGGAATAGTTTTTATTTTATTCAGTAAGATATCACTCCCTCTCGATCAAACTAAAAAATGTGTTGGAAATAAATGTCGTGAAAATAAATTAGTATGTCGCGGTGGCCCCCAAGGTTAAGGCACCCGCTTCTCACGCATGAGGAGGGTTCGAAATCTGGCAAGTACCAATGTGACTTTTTCCAAGTTAGATGTACTTTCTATGGTTATTTAGACACCACTGACATACGGTAAAGGTTGACATCGTAAGGAAACCTGAACTTATAATTTCTAATTATAAGTTTGTAGTGTGGTGTGGTGGTGGTGTAGTGTAGTGATTAATGCTCAAACCTTATCCGTGTGAGAAGAGGCCTTTGCTCAGCAGTGGGTACTTATAGGCTGATGATGATGATGATAAAGTTAGTATGAATTAAGTCTGTAAACCGAGGAAGGGTACAAGATGTTTACCTACCATAAAATTATTCTTCCAATTGTGAATGAGACATTAATTAATTTAATTTTTGGTTGGTTGAAAACAAATGATATTATTGTATTAAATTAATAACTTAATTTGAATTTCGAATCTACAATTTGGAATGAGCACCTAGCTTCACTGACGAACAGTCTGACAGACTACTATTCTATTTTGACGTTTCAAAAGTATCTATTTTTTGGAAATGGTTTAGTTGGAATAGAAGATTTTAATTCGATTTGAAGAAATATGCTAAAATTATGAAGATTGTTTTCTAATTGTCAATTCTCTCTCTTTTTAAATATAATTATTATTTAATAAATTAATTATAATAAATCTATGAAATTAAGTATTACCTAGTAATTTATTTGCCAATTATTTTTGAGGAGTAAAAAATATATATCAGATATATCTACAAATGAAACGTAGCTTCCATTTAAAAAAATAATAGTAGGTGCTAACACAGACGACGATGCGAGCAATAACAAGTGCAACACAACTAAAGTATAGCGTTGGTCAGTTGTGAATTTTCTCACAATACATTCTTTAATCTGTATGAGAACTCCACACATGTCATTTTAAAATACGTACTAAGTATCTTAATTCCTTATATTCTTTGTAAATACAATGCAACTTGTAGCTTTTGGAGGCGTTAGCATGCTTATGTGCGTGTGCATTCAGAAATCTTTTCGAAAAATCTATTCTAATCCCAACCAAATTATAAGAGCATTTAAGAAATGATTGTGACAACTGCATGGTGAGGTATAAAATTTCTGAATCCTAAACCAACTAATTAACTGGATCTCTCAATCTGGACACCTGTAGGCCTAGTAGGCGAGAAAGAGAGATGGAGCTATAAAAGGTGTATAGCTCCCTCTCTCTCTCGCCCGGAAGATTGGCGATTTAACACGTCATGGTAGGCTTTCTGAAGACAAAGCCTGCGTTTTTGCCTGCGACTTCGTTCGCGTGGAATAGTGACCAACACACAAATAGGTTCAGTAGTATAGGCGTGAAGAAAAGACAGACAGACAGACTGAGCTACTTTCGCAATTAGACTGCACGTTTGGTGCGGTGGCCGGGCAACTGGCTGCCGTGCAACGTGTCGCGGGTTCGATTCCCGCACGGAACAACTCTTTGTGTAATCCACAGATTATTGTTCCGGGTCTGGGTGTCATGTGTATGTGTAATTGTATGTTTGTAACCGCACCCACGACACAGGAGAAATCCTAACGTGGGGCAACGTTTAATTAAAAAAAAATATATAATATTAAGTTTGGATGAACTACTGGCGGGGTAAAAAAACAGGGTGTTGTTGTACCCCATTGTCGAGTTGTCGCACGTGCAAAGTCACCAATTCCTCACAGTCTAGTCTCGCTTAACGATCTCCTTTAATCTTCAACGATTAATCTGTTTGCAAGCCAAGCTTCGGCACAAATGGGCTGATACTACGCCCTCACAGAACACCGGCGTAAAACAACCACAGCGTTATGTTTCGTCGTGTGAGTTGGGTGGCCAAATTTTTGATAATACTGGTAGCTGGGATATCGGCTGCCTTGTAACGTATCGCGGTTTCAAATCTCGTATGGAACGTTGTTGTTCCGGGTTTGAGCGTGTAATTGGAAGTTTGTAAACGCACCCACCACAGAGGCCAGGGTCCTAGTGAGGGACAACGTTTTTTTAATTAAAAAAACCTTGTGCTATCACCAGTTCTCAATTAATAATCCACATAAGGCCAGCCACGCACTTGTAACTCCTTTTTACTCGTCTTTAAGAATGGAAGGTCGCTACGTGACCGCTCATTATAAAATGTACTAAACCGTGACGTCATATCACATATTATTGTTGCCTTAAAGAGCCAACAGACCACTGCAAACGGGGCCCAAAAATGCCGATGTTCAGCCGGGACAAGCGCAACAAGGTACCGTGGCCTCGGCCTAAACTAATAAAAGAGACGTGGATTTTAGTCAGTAAGAGTCTGACATTCTCTCTCGCCATACCCTAAGCGAGAAAAGTCATTTGATGAAAAAAAAACATTATTTTAAATGTTAGAAAAGTAAATAAATAAAAATTCTTTGGCTTAATATTCTAAATTCATCTACCGTCTACCTAAACATTTAAAATGTCATTATCACCGTCGATCCCGCGGTTCATTTCATCACAGCTATAAATATCAGTTGCTGCCACATCTCTAAAGTCCCGGGGTCCCGTTATTATAGGCCTACCGACCTCCTGATTTCCCCAGGGAACTTTAAATTTACCGGGACACGAGTATCTCTAGCACCACCACCATGTCTATGGTGTCTATTAATCATTATTGTCTATATTTTTAAGGAAAAGACATTTAATAGGGATGTTGAATCAGTTACAACATAGTGGGTGGCCCGGACGATAGGGCGCCCGCTTCTCATGCAAGAGTGCAGGTTCCTAGCAACTACTTATATGACTTTTTTCGAGTTAAATGTACCTACTTTTTATGATTATTTAGACACCTACGGTGAAGGAAAACATCGTGAGGAAACCTTGACTTAAAATTTCTTACTATAAGTTTGAAATTGACAATCTGCCTTGAGCAAGCGTGGTGATTAATGCTTCTCCGTGTAAGCAGAGGTTTTTGCTCAGCAGTGGGCACTTATAGGCTGATGATGATGATGATGTAATATATATGTATAAGCAGAAGGTAATACTGGCATGTACAATACAAATAACAAACGATTTTACATTATTTTTAATGTGACAGAGCGGAAAACTAGCTGTCGGATTATGTGATGGTAAGCAATTAGCGTTGCTCATAATAGCAGAGAACTTACAAATGCGTTGCTATTCTTTTAGGTGATTGGGATTTGGGGATAAGGTCGAAAAGGTCCGAGCCTCCGGTAACCACACGCTCACAGTGAAAACAACGCGAACGGTGTTTCACACTGTTTAGAGGGAAAACTATCAAATGAATTCTCTCGTCCAGGGTGAGGCGAGAGGGAGTGTCAGACGCTTACTGACTCAAAAAATTCTTTTCCTTCTCCGGCCCTAGGCCGAGGCTGTGGTACTTATTGCTCTTGCCCCGCTACCCTGGCTAAAAATCAACCCTGACGAAATGTTATGTGGCTCAAAACCTGTCTATTCGTACCGAACCATGGCACTACTACATTTAAATTTACAGTTTAATATTATACCTTTTATTCAATAAATATCCAATATTGTGTAACGATAAGAATATTTAAATAAACATAAAAAAACTTACAACGGCTAAGCTGTGTCCTCGGCCATGGCAGAGTAAAACGAAAAGTACGAAAAACATTGACAAAATTTTAGACATTGTGGATTTTCTTCGTAACCGCTTCAAACATTCCCAACTTCAAATGAGATACGAAAAAGAGAGAGGAAAAATACAAAAAAAATATATAATATATATATGTACAGGAAATGTAAAATAAAATATTTATTCTTTATTTATAGTCAGTGGGTTCGATAACGGCATATACATAGTTTTTATGGTCGCCTCGCGTTCGTAATAAAATATCGAAAATGACCATTTTCATTACGTGAAAATTTTCAACGAACAATGAGAAAAAAATGAAGTTCTATGTTTTATTTTTTATTCTTTCCTCTGCCTGTGCGCACGTTGACGAAACGGTAAGATTTATACAAAACTAGCTTTTCCCCGCGACTCCTTTCGCGTGGAATAGTGACTTCCTGCAGATTTTTGGTATAAAAACTATTCTATGTCCTTTTTCTAGTTCCAAACTATGTACCAAATTTCACAGAAATCGGTTCAGTAGTTTAGGCGTGAAGAAAAGACAGACAGACAGACAGAATTACTCTCGCATTTATAATATTAGTTTTTATAATGAACGTCTAGACGTCATCGTCAGCCCATTCTTGGACCAGAACTATTGGCGTTATCTGCATAAACGGATACGTGCTTACAATTTGTGCTTATAGGTTCATGACCTGAAAACTGCGATCGTGAGAAAGCATTGCTGCTCTCTCTGAGTTCAATGGTCCCTCGGTGGGCTCTTAAAAAACCTCTGGAAAGAGCTCTTCGACAAGGTGTAGATGAGTAGTTAGGTCAAATAAGTTAATAAAATTTACAATTTCAGAATCGAGTAAAGCGAGGCGCCACTGGAGCGCTGCACATAGTAACCAATCATGCACAACCAATACACGCTGATGTCAAATCTGAAGTTCCAACTGATAATACGGAAAAAACTGGTGAACAGGTAAATTATACTGTATTAAAAAAAGCAATAAAGTCTAAAGTCTAAATTCATGAGCAGCCAGCTTAGTGAGACGGCGAGCGAGCAGAACTAAACCTGATAACACGGCGCATGATGTACCGCGCGTGTCTCAAAGAGGCAATTAGCCCAACAGTACAGTCCAGTAGCCGTGGTACAATAAAGTACCACGGCCTTGACCTGGAGCAGAAGAAGGAACGAGGTGGTTTTTAATCAGTAAGAGTCTGACACTCCATCTCGTCTCACCCTGGACGAGAGAATTCATTTGATAGTTTTCCCTCTAAAAGAAGCCACACTGAAAAACAGTGTGAAACACCGTTCGCGTTGTTTTTCGCTGTGAGAGTGTGGTGTATATATAGTTAGCCGTTATATTATGATAATTAATAATAGAATAGTCAGGTTAGTACAGTATTCTATAATTTCCAGCCATGCATAGGTAAAGGTCCTGCTCATATCGAACCTGGAGTAGGATTTAAGGTAATAACAGGTTATGTGGGAGAGTCATGCTTCTTCACGAATGGGAAGATTAGATCGGAGTGCTACCATGGTAGGAGAAGGAAAGGGGGTTTTTAGTCAGTAAAAGTCTGACACTCCCTCTGGCCTCACCCTGGGCAAGAGAAACCATTTGATGATTTTCAATTTACAATAAAAAAATCGTCATAGAAAATCTTCGTGAGACAATGTGAACATTTTCTTTTGCCCTTTTTGTTTATTCGTTGTGTTTCGCCGTGTAAGTGAGATTACCGGAGCCCCAATCCTTTCCCTCCATAGTCAATCCCCAAATCCCACTTCCGATTATCCCTAATGTCGAGCTGATCGAGCGTCCACAGGAGGCACCGATTGCTTACCATCAGATAACAGTATGCTCGTTAGTCGAACTATCTCTTAAAAAAATTCTCCCTTCCTGGGCGGGGCGGGGGTTGATAGAGAGAATATAAAACCCTTACTAACTAAAAACTATTATAACTTTCGTGGGACATTCTAAATTAATTATTATGTTTTCGGCTTACTCACGTAATAATTTGACGAGATAAAGAGCGACGCGGAATGCCACTCATGAATATGGGCCTCTAAGCATGGCTTGAAACAGTATCTCGTCAAATTATTACGTGAGTAAGCCGAAAACATAATAATTGAGTAAAAATTATCCTGTTCCTGAATATAATTTAAGAACAAAATTAAAAGAACAATTTTTTTTCCAGGTAACATCACCTAACGATGCAGTGACAACTTATGAAGTAAAATCTTTAAGAAAATCTCTCGTGGTCACGCCTCCGACAACCCTAACACTAGTGCGAAGCGTCAGTAGGGTTGCCACTCTAATAGTACTGTTTGTATCCGCCATCTTGGAATTCTATCCAACGTTCCACGGATTGATTTGTACAATTTTTAGCTTTATGACTTCGAAATAAAGGTTTAGATTTGACTGTTCATGTGTTTTTTTTTTGTTGTGTTTGTAGAATTCTCTTGAGAAAACTTATGTAATCGATTATGGACCGATTATTTTATTTTTCCGAATTGTTTCCCCACACTAGGATTTTGTGACAACAATACATTACAATTTCACATACACCGGAACAACAAGAGTCCACACAAAGAGTTGTTCCGTGCGGGAATCGAACCCGCGGCACGTTGCACGGCGGCCAGTTGCCCAGCTACCGCGCCAATGTGCAGTAGAATTTCTATGTGGTATAAAGATCCTGTGAAACCCGATATGGTTCTTCCATATTATTATCTACCACTTATCACGGAAATAATCAACACAAATAAATTATTTCAATCAAAAAAGTCTCGTGTCCTGAGCAATAATTATAACTATTGCCCCCATGGAGAATCGATTAATGTAGTTTGTTTTAAATTTGTACAAACATTAGATTAGAACGATCGTCATTTGATTTCATTAGTTGATAATAAACGAACGAACTGTTAGACTGTATTTCAAGGATAACGATGGAGTTCGTAAAATTTGTGATTTATTTTTTAATTTTTATATCAAATTGTTTCGCTGATGTGAAGACGGCTGTTACAAATTTGGTAAGTGTTTTTTTGATACATGCTATAACGCAAATTTAGCTAGTAAACATCATACCATCGGCCAATAAGTGCCCACTGCTGTATAAAGGACTCTTCTCACACGGAAGTAATTGGATGATCTTAAATCCTAAAAAAATATTTGAAAGACACCTGGGAGATACATAAATAGAAGAATTTAATAGATTTATTTATTTTTTTATTTAATTTTGGACACCTAGTACCTAGTTGTTACATTTAAACTTATATCTAAAAACGTAATAATAAAATCAAATGCACAACATTTTAAAGTGTCACAACATGCTCTGTAACGTAACGACAACACTTAGTATATTACAATTACAATTACAAACTAGAAAAAACATTTAAAAAAAGGAAAAAAATTACTACAATAATGCGGAACAATAAAATTAAAGTGAAAAATAACAATAAAAACAACCGAATAAACATATAATATATAAACATATAAATATAATAAACATATAATAATAGATAAACATATCAAAGTCTATCTTATAAGAAATTCTAGTTCCTTAACTTACTTTTGAAGATAAATAAGCGTGTTGTCAAATAAAACTAATTTATCGTTAGGCGTAATCCAAATGTAATTAAGCAGCGTTGCCACCCAACTTGTTCCCAATATCGGCCTTACAAACTTTAGTCTCAAGCTATTTTCGTCTAAATCTTTGTAATTATTTGATTGATTACTTTTCTTAAGTCTAATATAGATCATCACATAGTATACATCATCAGCCAATAAGTGCCCACTGCTGAGCAAAGGCCTCTTCTCACACGGAGAAGGTTTGAGCATTAATCACCAAGCTTGCTCAAAGTAGATTGGCGATTTCAAACTTTTAATTAGAAATTACATATCAGGTTCCTCACGATGTTTTCCTTTACCCTATGTCCGTTGTGCCTAAATAGTCATTGAAAGTCATGTAATTTACATTAGTTCTTGTCAAGCTTTGAACTAGCACCGTCAGGCATGATATACGTATGTCATACGACGTCATTGGAATTGTATTTGTCATGTAACTAGATTTGTTCTTGGACAACGCAAACACAGTGTAGGGTGCCTTCCAGTGAGATGGATTTACGATACCCGCAAGGTATACCTACATATTAGGCAGTGGTTGGACGTGTATAGCTTTTTTTGTAGGGGATAATCTTCAAATGACAACCCGCCCACTGTGCGGCGAGAGGGAGTGTCAAACTCTTACTGACTAAACCCCCCGTCCTTCTTCTGCTTTACTCCAAGCAAGGGCCTGGTTGTGGTGGGGCGGCGAGCTACCTTTACTCGCCGTCCGCTATCCACACTGTCCTCTGGGTGGTCCTCACCATGACGACACTCGGCCGTTTCTTTGTTGGATCTGAAACAGGAACCTACCGAAGCTGCCGTATCCAGCAAGCACCTGCAAGCATCAGGTGGAAAGTGAGGACGCCACGGCTTCTCTCAAACGACTCTTCAAAGAGATGTATAACAGCTAGCTGCTTACCGCTGCTATAACAGCGTGCCCGGGATGTGTACAGCTGAATATCAAGTTCAGAAGTTTATCATTGGAGAGACCTTTTACCAGTAGTGGACGTACATGGGGTGACGATGATGACAACGAACGCCACACAACGGAACCTCGTGTTCGATCCTAGTGTAGGGCTAAAATTGTTGTTTTCTTATAATCGGTAAATTTGTTAGTAGTACCGAAGAAATTGTGCCATAGCAATGACCTCCTGTTACACGAGATTTATTAAATAAATTATATAAAGTGAATGTTATATATTATATGCGCATCTCTGCTTTATAGGTCAATCAAAAAATATTATTAAATTAAAGAACTTAATCGCTTTATGCTACGCTCGAAAAGATTTAATAAAAATATTTCAAAAAAAGTTTTGATTGCTTTAATTAAAACATCTACGCTTTGATATAATATACGATATAAAAATAATTTATTATATAAACAAAACGAAATAATGACTTCGTCAGTAATTTAAAAGAGAAATTGATATTTTTTTGTAATGAGCGCCAATTATAATGGACTTACCTATTATTTTGTTCTGAAGTTTATTTAGTTAACGAAATCTTTTGTCATTATTAAAATTTGAAACTTTAGTGATGATATAAATTTTATTCTCTGTTTCCTAAACACTTATCTAAACTAATATTATATTTTTTTTTCTTTACGCCTAAACTAATGAACCTATTTGTCTGAGATTTGGTACAGCCATACTTTGGAACTCGAGAAAGGACATAGGATAGTTTTTAAAGCAAAAATCTGCAGAAAGTCACTACTCCAGGCGAGCAAAAGCTAGTATTGAAAAAAATTTTTCTATCTCATAATCAATTTCAGCTTTTGTTTGATTTTTGAGACCAGTTCTTATTTATATTTAGATAAGACTACTGTCAAAGCTGGTTAAGTTAAATACGAGTATAAATGTCTATGGAATTAATAAAAGACTTAATTTTAATTAATCCGAATACACATTATACTCAAAACGGCAATAAAATGACAAACATATTTTTTTACAGACGGAATTGGAACATCCGCTCAATGTGAACAAAAGGGAAAAGCAGTACCTTATAGAAGATGATCCCTTCGAAGGATCAGAGCAGAGGAGAGATGGAAGACAAAGTACTCCTAAAAACAATCAAATCGATTCTAACCCAAGTTCAAATGCTGCAAAAGTACGCTATCAACCTAAAATACTGACTGCGCCACCTAAACCAACAATGAAACCAATGCTTACTAAACCGCTTCGGGTAGACAAAACACCACAAAGAATTCCAACAAAAATACCTATCGTTCTCAAATCGGCTAAAGTCGTACCCACTCCAGCAAATGCTTTACGAATGAAGATATTGGAAAGTAAATATAATGAAACGCTTGCTAATCAAGAGAAACAAGAAACCAATACTAATCAACCTCCACAATTTACTGTATATCTACTTAATGAAAGTCATCCCAATTCAAATGATAACGAAAATTTTAATGTTAATACAATATCTAGTGATAGTACAGATCCAAGTGACAATACAAATGATAAAGATGCTAAAGATAGAAAAAGCAACAATAATGAGGATGAGAAAATTACACCAACTAATATCAAAAAACCTATACATTACTTCGTAGACGAACCAGAGCCGCTACCACCCAAAATCCTACGCATCCCTGAAATTGATATCAAGGAAACAGAACCAAATAAAATAAAAGAGATACCAATAGCTAAGAAGCCCAAAAATAAAGCTAAGAAAGATGAAATCAAATCCAGAATTTCTTCTACTGACTCTGATGATGATTTAGAAATTACAAGGATTTCCAATGGGACACATTTGATTAGTATTAAGAAACTTCGTGATGACGGCAGGCCATATCATAATGTCAAAGAAATTTCAATTGAGGAAAGAATTATGAATAAACCAATAAAACCCACACCCGTAGTAGAGACAGAACCTAGAAAGCCAGAAAATTTTGAGCCATATGTTAAAGAAACCATTACAGCTGGAGTTTTGTTAGATGGTACTAAAATGGAAACTAAAGGTAAGTAAAATATATTCTCAGGAGAAATATTTTTTTATTCGGAACTGGAACTTTGCCAGATTTTTTATGATATATCTTATGATTGGCTGGCCGTGGTGGTGGTAAAGTCTTCGGAAGGCCTTGGCCTAAGTCTGTTTAGTTGCAACAGGATAGTTTTTAATCAATAGGAGTTTAATACTTCCTTATAGGAATAAGGAAGTAGGTCATCCTCATCTAGGTCATAAGTCCTTTAGAGACTTCTCTTTCTAAAAAAAAAATGGGATTTATTACTCAGGTCAGGTCGGAATGTCTGAATGAAACTAGTCTTCGATAATTAATGACCGGGTAAGCTCGAGTTACTTTGATCCGAAACTGTTAACCAATAATAACATAGAACAAAACGTACATACGGTTGATTTGAAAGTTTGGATCAAAGACGTCTTCCAGGGGCAAAGTAATCCGAATTTACGGTATGATTGTAATAATTTCAGGCCGATGTGGATGTTCGCGGATGATATCAGTCTTCTAAGAAGACCGTCATTATAAAAGACTAGTTTCATTCTGGTGAGTTTTGGTTTAATAATGTTTACTGTGGTTTTGCTTTCCTCTATGCTCCCCATGGTTTTAGTAGCCAAAAGAGTAGTCAAAAGAGTGTTTCGGGTATTTTCTCCTTTTCTAATATTGCTCTACCCTAAGGACTTTTTCTAATGTGACAAAAATAGAGAATGACATATATGTACGTCACAACTAAGAACAACAATCTATGCAAGGTGTCGCTTGTTCAGCAGCTAGTTGGCCAGCTATTTAGCAAATCACTCTAATTGAACTTCCTTTTTACAAGTAAACACAAAGTGTATACAAGTAAATTATGCCTTCTTTAATAGAAAGCACACTCATAGCTCAGAAGTGAACTGTGACCTAGGCTTTTTATAGTTAATTTTTGTATATGAAGAAAATTTTTTAATGATTACTTACTTTATTTATTCTTGATAGTACTAATGATAATATTATTTGACCAGCACTTAATTTAACATATATATTTCCAGATCAAAACTGCATAACGATAAGAAATCATAATTATGAAGAGATAGAAGAAAAATCGCCTCTATCAGAACCGATATCCGTTCAACCAGTGTGTAATGATTTCAACCAAGACTACTTGAGATACCTCCAAAATTCTTATTATAACCCTTATTACCAAACCATTAACGACCAATATCGAAGGAACTATGGATTAATACGAAGCTCACCAAATATTTATTTGGCTGACAATAACAATCCTTGTGTAAACAACGAAGAAATAATCCAACCGAATTACGATTCGAATAATGAATATGGAAATTCCGAAAACATTAACGTTATTCAACAAGAAGTTGACTCATATCCAGAAAATAGTCCAGAAAATATTTTAGACAGAAAATGGAAGAACTGGAAAGACGTTGAAATCAAAATAAGAAATGCTAAAATTGCTGAGCCCTATGATATCGATATAAGATCTATGGCCCAAAATAGTGATGACATTTTAAAGAACGGATTGACCGATGGTGAATCAACGCCATCTACTGGTCGATTCGGGAATTTATATAACAGAAATGGAATTGTTTATCCATATTTCAAACCTAGCTATAAAAATGCTCATTGATTTTTTTTAGTTAATAAGATTTTAGTAATAATATCATCACTATGATTAATTTATTCTTTCCTTTATTTATGATACGCCAATAATTTTAAATTGTAATTAACTTAATACATAAGTAATTGATTAATATGTAAGATAACTTTGTCTAAATTTTTTCCCCATCCCTCCTCAATCCTTAAATCTCCGAAACTCTAATCTCCAAAAGACGTCTAGTAGGTCCTCTGGTGTTCCAGTTGTCCATGGACGGCGCTGATCACCATTAGTGACCATAAGACAAGATAAAAAATCCTATCTTATCCAGTCACGGTACCACAGGCTCCCGGACTTTTGGAAGGGCGTACGAGGGGCCGAAGCCAACTGTGCAGAGGCCATTTGAAAAACTTTAATATGTATTAGTGAAATGGGGCATCAGCCGGAAATTGTCCCTGTATGCACTATGGAAGCAAGGGCAATCCCCCGTTCAAGCAGGACTATTGTAAAATGCGCTAAAAATTGAAAGGGTTATAAGTATTACTAATTATAATTATAAGATAATATGATTCCTATTATAATTTCTATATATAACATTATTTTTAATATCATCATTCTATTTCGATAGTTTTTTAACATTACATGAAATCTCAAAAAACCATAGATCTATTAAATAAAATCTCTTTTTATTGTTATTATTTTAGTTTCATCATTCCGATCGTGTTATATGTATGTTCCAAAGCAATAAATAAACGCTTCGTTCACAAAACAATAGCTTTCATACACAAACAGTTCTGCGATAAATCAGTTGCCATAATTAAAAATCGTTCATAGCTTCAAAATTTATTTAACCAAATTCGTTCAAGCTATTTTGGGCTTTGTTCCCATTGTTTTATCTGTTATAATCATTTGAATTTATTCATGAAAGTAATGAAATTTTATTCGAACGTCCAGTACTGACGTTGATAAGGGTGAAATGGTATATTGTGCTACCCTTTTAATATAAAATAAAATGTAAATTAGGAACATCGTACTTATGCTGCGTAAAATAGCAACATTAGGTAGACATTTTTGATGCAAGTACCGAAAAAAATACACCATATACATTGCCTAGACTTGTTAGCTATGCAACGAAAAAAGTTTCATTTAAATTAGTCTATTAGTTTCGTAGATCAGCGAATACAAACAGATGAACGCGCAAACAGGGTTTTCGTCTCTCTATTATTTTTACGGATTTTATTTTTACGGATAATGATGAAAGCTCCTCTGGTGCAGCAGGTGTTCATGGGCGGCGCCGATTTCTTACCATCAGGTGATATGTCGGCTCGTTTGCCTCCTATCCTTAAAAAAGCTGTACGTCTAATCTAACCAATGAAAGAATCATTCTACGAATGAGATAAAAATGACTAACATCATTGTTTAATTGTCCCAGGGATAAGCAAAGGCCTTGTCTCTTCCGGAGAAGGAATAAACTTTAATCTTTCGTATTTTAAACGTGGATCCACGCGAGACACAATGTATTTTCTATTGTGTCTCATAAACCGACATTCAACGGGTTAATTAATCCTTAAAAGGACTTCTCTGGAGTTGCGGGTGTCCATGGGAGGCGCCGATTGCTTACCATCAGGTAATCATCGGGTCGGCCCTCCTACCACAAAAAAAAACATTCACCATGCCTGCTAAATGGATGATGGAATGGAATGGAATGGAAAATGGATTGGAGATTTGGAATCTTGAAGCTCTTTCTTTATTTCCTTCAACTTAGTTTACGATGAGGAACATTCCTATCTATCGCATTAGGGAATAATGTAATGAGAGATTTATGTAAGATTTTATAACAAATAGACACTTCAGTTCAATCAAAATTAAATCAAAAGAATAGGAATGCCTAACATAAATAAAACACACATTTTAATATAGGCGAATATTAAATATTTTATTTAATATAAACCCTAAATATACCAGCAATTTACAGGAAAATCCAGCGAAATTGTGTCGTAATTAAATAATAAAATTATATTCCACAACAAAATAAATAAATAAATTTAAAAAAATAATATTGTGTTTCACAAAATAAATTAAACAATGAAGCATTTTGGTTGCCACTAAAACTATTTAATCTTAAAAACTACATTAATCTAAATTAAAATATAAATTTTTCAACAAACATTAATACTTGGAATGTAATTAATAAATAGAAAAGAAATAATAATAATAATAAAATGCCCATATTTACTTATATAGGTATAAGGTACACGAAATAGTGTGATGAAAATTTATAATAGAAAAAACGGGATAGATATTTTTTTTAGTATATTATAAATAGTTCAATTCACCCCATACAGTATTTTCTACTATTTTTGGTATTCATGAGACACGTCAATCCAATGCTATGGAAAAAATACCTATCTTAAAAAATCACAATTTAAATATTAAAAAAAAATACTTAACATTTTGTTTCACGGAATTTATTTTTAACATTTGACTTTTATTATTGTTTAGGGAAATGATTAGAAATACCAGTGAGAGTCCTCCATAAATCGTTTTTGTTTTTTTTTTCGGTAAATTAACAAAACTTTTGACATTTTAACAATTATATAAATACGTGACATAAAATTGACAACGATACAAGTAGAGAATTGACATACTCTACACGATTACTCACTTTACTTTGACTATTCAGTAAACACATCGAATGTTCTCATTTTGCAAATACGACTATCCAAAAACAAAAAAAATACTAAAAGTATTTTTTCATATGCAGACAAAAAAATGTTTTCACATCAATATATTTAAAGATTAGTGATGTGGGGATATACCAAAGAGAATCGATTAAATATCGACGATTGTTAGAATACATCGGATGGTAGGTTGGATCGGATAGGTGGACGATCAAACCATCTATCCGATTCGGATGTATACTAATAATCGTTTACAATTTAATCAACATAGTTTCGAATTGAAAAGGATATTAAACTTACTACTTTTATGTAATAAAAAAATGAAAATGAAATTCATATTTCCTTCACAAAAAAAAAACACATAAAAATGATGAAATAGTAATTAAATTTTTCAATTAGTAAATAAAAATAATCGTATTTGCAAAGTCAGAGACCTTCCTTCCCTGTTTAGACCTTTAGGTCTCTTTATTTGACGTCCTTGCGAACTTTGTGGCCACGGAAGGAGGCCTGGATCTTAGTCGCGGCCTTGTTCAGGTCGGGATCGGCGAGGTCAATCTTTTCAATGTCCTCCTGTGAAGATAAGAAAAGGTATCGTTACAAAAGCTTCCTACATAAATCCTATTAATATTATGAAGGCGAAAGTTTGTAAGCGTGGCAGGATGGCAGCAATAAATTAAATTTATCACAATACAGTCGTTCGGCACTCAGATGGAACACCTTCTTATTTTTGAGAAGGAAAGGGGTGGTATTTAGTCAGTAAGCGTGGGAGAGCCATGCTTCGGCACGAATGGGTCGGCTCGACCGGAGTGATACCACGACCTCACAGAAAACCGGCGTGGAACAACCACAGCGTTGTGTTTCGCCGTGTGAGTGAGGTTACCGGAGGCCCAATCCTTCCCCTCCCCCAATCCCTCCTCAATCCCAAATCCCTAATCCCTAAAAGGTCGGCAACGCACTCGTAACTCCTCCGTTGCGGGTGTCCATGGGCGGTGCTGATTGCTTACTATCAGGTAATCCGTCAGCTCGTTTGCCGACCTATTACATAAAAAAAAGTAAGAACCTGAACATCCACTCCAGGTGGAGGTGGGGAGCCATAGCGAAATAAAAAAACACGATTTTGCCCTCGAAAACAAAAATACACAGGAGTTACAGCGGATTTTTTAAGTGGTGTTCAACTTGCCCCATTCAACAACTCGTATGGCAAGATTATATAATGAAAGGGCCATTATGACAGATTATCCCATCGATATTTTCTCCATGAACTTCGCATCATACAGACGCTCCCTACTTAAACAATGTGAACAGTGCCCATCGTTATTGCTTTAACACGTTTTTTGTTTTTTTGTTTAATTATTAGCTTAGTTATATAAGTCTCAAAAACCTTTCATTTTCAATGTCATGCACACCTGTAATTTGTACAATTGCTTGTGCATCCAATTATTTGATTATTGTGTTTTTTGTATAACATTGGGTGATTGTATTGTTGGTGTGCTTATTTTTAAATAAATAAATTTGTAAATATTCTTTCTCTTACCTTATCCTGTTGTTCCTGATCCTTGACAGCCTGCTCCTTCTCCTTGCGAGCCTGGTGACCTCTGAAGGAAGCCTGGATCTTGGTAGCTGCGTTGCATAGCTCTGTTGACAATGAAAAGTTGGGAATTAATTATTTATAAGCTTGGGAGACCAAGCTTTGGCACGAATGGGCCGGCTCGTCAGGAGATATCACGGCCTCACAGAAAGCCGGAGTGAAACAACCACAGCGTTGTGTTTTGCCGTGTGAGTGAGGTTACTGGAGGCCCAATCCTTCCCCTCCCCCAATCCCTCCCCAATCACTAAATCTCTAAATCCCTAATTCCTAAAAGGTCGCCAACGCATTCGTAACTCCTCCGTTGCAGGTGTCCATGGGTGGCGCTGATTGCTTACCATCAGGTAATCCGTCTGCTCGTTTGCCGACCTATTACATAAAAAAATGCTTCGAAACGAATGGGCCGAAGATACCACGGCCTCACATAAAACTGGCGAATAAACAACCACAGCGTTGTATTTTGCCATGTCATTGACTGCCAGTCAAACTACCATAGACGGGCCTCAACAGGGCAGATGTTCTGGGTTGTGACGTAGGCACAATAATGTACGGGAACGGTGTGATTTTAAGCCAGTAAAGGTGCTCCCACACAGCAGTTATATAACGTTAGAGACTGACTTTTTTAAACAAATTATAACAAAAGTCATAAATTGTTACAAATTATAATAAATTGTTATTGATGTTATAAAACTTCATTAAACAATTTTTATTTTTCAAACTAAAGATAAACGCTAAACCTATCAGCACTTCCTCCATTATTGGTTCACTACCACCTTCCTCGAAAGACAAACCCGAACTGATTGAACAGAATGTTATACGATGTTATACAACGAGTTTAACTAATTTGGGAGCGTTTATAACATATAACATTTCTTAACATGTTGTAGAGTATTGTTACACGCTGTTATAAATGTCACAATGTTGTATAACGTTATATAACTGCTGTGTGGGAGCACCTTAAGAGTATAAATTCTCTCTCTCGCCTTACTTTGGGCGAGAGAAAACATGTGATCAATTTATCCAATCAAACAAAAAGACTATCATCTATCATCATCATCAGCCTATAAGAGCCCACTGCTGAGCAAAGGCCTCTTCTCATATGGAGAAGGTTAGAGCATTAATCGCCACGCTTGCTCAATGCGGGTTGGCGATTTCAGACTTATAATTAGAAATTATAAGTCCTGGTTACCTCACGATGTTTACCTTCACCGTATGTCAGTGGTGTCTAAATAATCATAGAAAGTACATATAACTCGGAAAAGGTCACATTGGTACTTGCCAGGTTTCGAACCCGCACCCTCATGCATGAGAAGCGGGCTCCTTAACCTCCGGGCCACCAAGACCCTTTTTATCGTCTATCACTATGCCAAATTTCATTCACACTCATTAGTTTTTACGTGAAAGAGTAACAAACATCCGTCCCTACTTACAAACTTTCTTGTTTATAATATAAGCAGGATATTACAAAATCTAAGTAATAACCTAGGGAATCTGCAATCAAAATGGCTAGTTTATTAGTAAACCGCAGCATCGAAGCGTCCATTTCATCTCGAAATACCTGAGGCCACTGTTTTCGACGTTCAACTGAATGCGGGTGGAATTTCATCAGGTCTCGGCGATCCGTGCCGTTGCCAACTAGTACCTAAGCGGTTTATAGAACTATCGCTAAGTATCTTTGACCTAATATCTATAAATTATGTAATGGAATTTAATGGAGGATATCCCTTATGATTTCAAGGGTCGACCGTGAGAATTGAAATTTGAATTCTATATGAACAACAATAAAGACAACAATTCTGTACTCAAACATATTATTTCAAACGATTATCGCCATTAAGAGAAAGGAGTAGAAATTATCGTTAATGAGAATAAGAATTAAAGCTGAAAAGAATTGCTTGACAGTCACATCACTTGCATCCTTTATAACGTAATCTTCGTTAAAATAATTTAATTTAAATAAAAATGGATTGCAAAATGTGTTGTAAGCGCATAACTCAAAAACGCCTGGACCAATTTGGCCAATTCTTTTTTTGTTGTGTTTGTTATTGTCAGGAGAAGGTTCTTATCAAAGAAAATATTAGAAAAGTAGAGGGGAAGTTTAGGAAAAAGTGACCCTTTGATATCGAGATAGCTGGACCCGCGCGAAGCGGGGGCGGGCCGCTAGTTTAAAATAAAATACAGTAATATTTTAATATTAAACACGCATCATTTTGAATATAAATTTACAAGGAATATTTTTGTTCCGAAAAAACTGCTAAGGACTGAGTTATATGTTTATTTTAGTTGGTCACACACCCTAGACCTTCTCAAAGAATTTTCTCTGATAGCCAGAGACTAAATTCTATACTAGCACCACTCCAACTTAGTAAGACAAATAAAACGAAAACTACATATTGTATAATCAATGAAAACTGTTCTTATTTATACTTTTTTCCGCTTAGGTAAAACCTTTGGATCAAGTATGTAAAAGTTTGTTTAAATCACAATATAAACGTTTGATTTTTGATAAAAACATATTATTTTATAACACACACATAGCACCGATATATCTGATACTATTCTGAATTTAGTATCCATTTCAATAAATATAAAATACCTACAAAACTAACCACATTTAATGCTAATCCTTGTGCCAAATAAAATCTGTATATCCGGTTTAAATTTTCAAATACAAAAAGCATCCTTTTGCCATTTGCAATATAGAAAAATAAATTGCACATTTGAAAGGATGTTTGTATGGCACGTTTTCAACTGTGGCAATACTCGCAATCGAGCGTGATGACGTGGCAATTATTTCGTACGTGTCAAAACTTCATTGTTTGTCCTTCGGCTGTTTGGTACTCGATCGATTTGGAAGGGCTTAGAAGAATATTGCGGTGCAAAGGTTCCTAGAACACTTTTTAAAATAAAACCTCTTTAAAAAATGGATCTGTATACTTTATTACATGTACAAAACTTAAAATACAATATGTACAATGGGCGGTCTTATCGCTAAATTCTATTTCTTACAGTTTCTGTGGGAAACAGGGTCGTCAAATGTACAATAATGATTTTTGACCTGATGGTAAGCTATCGGCGCCGCCAATGGAGAATGCCTCGACAACAGAGGAGTGACGAGTGCGTTGCCAGCCTATTGCAGATTAGAGTTTCAGGGATTTAGGGATTGGGAGGTCCTTGAAAATAAACAGCTTATAAAATACCGTTTGGGGAACACAGACTCTGGCAAAGAAGTCCGCTCCTTAGCGGTTCTGATGAATATGACGAACTACTTGTACAATCAATTTGTACAAGCAGTGAGTTTGGCCATAAAATTATATAGTAAATAACGAAACAGTGATGGCATTTAAAACCAATTTATAAAAATAAATAAAAATCACGAACAATTTTGGTGACATTTGGTACACAGTACACACACAGATGCGTGACCTAGATTATTTTAGTAGGTTCATTTTTTTCTGAAAAATACTGGTGAGCTTAGGTCACAGATTTATTATCAGTTTATTTAACAGAATTAAAGTCTACGTTGGACTTGAGTAATTGATTGCAAAAATCACCCAACTACTTCACGACTAAAATCTCCCCTGTTCCTTCCACTGCTCCAGGCCAAGGACGCAGTTCCTTATTGCGCTTACCCCGCAACTTTTGCTGAACATCAGCCATGTTGTGTCACATCTGTGGTGGTTTAATGCCGGAACTCTACGCGCTGTACGCTGGTCAAGTGGCGAGCTACTCTTGCTAGCCATCCACAGACCCGCGCTTACGCGTTCACTTGGTAATATTTTTTGTCAGTGATTGTTCACAGTTTTTCATTTTATATACATACGGCATTTAAACTGTAACGTAGCATGATTTATTACCGTACTTACATCATCTTTATCAATAAAACCCTCATATGATCTTCTGTCTACCCATCATTTATTACCAAGTGTAGTCGTGATCAAAAATCAAAAACAGACAATGACGTCATCATTGTCGTATACATGCTAGACTCCTTGGTCCGTGTTTCAATCGTCGGTGAGCCGTCGGTCAAACGTCGGTTCAATATCAAAATCCTATCGCGGTGCTCTTCAATGAGTGTCGAGGTGGGCCGTCGTGCAGCCCGTAGTACCAGCTTATTAGACGTTTTCACGTCAATAAATCCAAATGTGAGACAAAAAACAATCTCTGATACTGAATCTAAACATTGTTATTTAGACAACAGAAAAACAACACGGGAATAAACAAACGTAGTTACAATTTCCGCCATGTATTTATTCAGTTACGCCCGCAGGCTAAAGGTTAAACATAGTTCAGTTCAGTTAAGTTTACACAGTTAAACGGAAAACCAGTTAAAACGTGTGTACTCGTATCAGTTAGTGTTTGTTAACACAACAAACACTTTTAGTCCAGAACGTTAGGCTTAGATACATTTTTGAGCAGCCAGGTTTAATTCTTTTTATGTATATAATACTGACAGCAAGTCACATTATATTTTTTTAAATATATAATACTGACAGCATGTCACATTATATTTTTTCGCGTTATAACTTTCTTTAGATATTTTGTGATATTTTTTTATGTTGTTGGGCCGCAAATGATCCAAAACTTTTCTTGGTGGTAAGCAATTAGCACCGCCCATGGGCCGAGAGATGATCTCCGGCCACCGTAAGCGCGGGTCTGCGGTCGGCGAGTAAGGGCAGCTCGCCGCCCGACCAGAACCAGACCCGAGTGTACGGCACGTAGCGTTCCGCGCGCGCCTCAAAGAGCCAATAGACCACTACAGACGGGGCCCTATCGGGCTGATGTTCAGCCGGTGTTGCGGGGTAAGCGCAATGAGGCACCGCGACCTCGGCCCAGAGCAGGAGAAGGAGCAGGGGGGTTTTTAGTCAGTAAGAATCTGACACTCCCTCTCACTCTGCCCTGGGCGGGAGAAGTCATTTGATGATTTTCTCCTCACAAAAAATGGAGACACACCAGAGGAGTTACGCCAGCCAGCCTTTTGAGGATAAAGGTTTCGGAGATTTTGGGGTTAGGGAGGGATGGAGGGATTGGACCTCTGTTAACCTCATTCACACGGCGCAACGCAACACTGTAATTGTTTCACGCCGGTTATCGGTGAAGCCGTGGTGTCACTTCTTTATCAATATCTAACATCGTCAGCATTTTCAGCCTGTAAACATCCTACTACCTAAAGCTCTATCTCTAGCTTCTTCTCACATGGAATAAGCATAAACTAATCACCACGCTCCCCAAGGTGCATTGAAGATTTCCAATGACATGATGTTTTTCTAAGAAAGTATTTACAAGTGTGGGAGAGCCATGCTTCGGCACGAATGGGTCGGCTCGACCGGAGTGATACCACGGCCTCACAGAAAACCGGCGTCAAATAACCACAGCGTTGTGGTTCGCCGTGTGAGTGAGGTTACCGGAGACCAAAACCTTCCCCTCCCCCAATCCCTCCTCAATCCCTACATCTCCAAATCCGTAATCCCTAAAAGGTCGGCAACGCACTCGTAACTCCTCCGTTGCGGGTGTCCATGGGCGGCGCTGATTGCTTGCCATCAGGTAATCCGTCTGCTCGTTTGTCGACCTATTACATAAAAAAAAATGTAAATCGGAAAAATCATGCTGGTATTGTCAGGTTTCGCATATTCTCGTCTTTATGTCTTAGCGTTCATGTCACCACTACATTTTTGTAATAGTCTTATATTGTACAAAGGGTTTCCCTTTAATGTAACACTAAGCCATGCTAAAGCACGAATGGGTCGGTACTACCGATGTTTTTTTTTTGGGAGTTGGTTCGAGATGGTGCGTCATACTCTTACTGACTAAAAACTACCTAGTTCCTTTCCCTGCTTAAGACCGATTGCGCGGTAGCTTATTACGCTTCCCCTACAACCTTGGCCAAAGGCTCGACCGGAGTGATACCACGATACCAAGGCCTTACAGAATACCGACATGGAACAACACTGACATTGTGTTATGTAAGTCCTCTCACACAGGGCATGCTTTTCCAAACTAACAAATAAAAAAAAATACTTCATAGAATAATACTATTGCATAAAATTTTAGGCCACTTGCGACTCACCCCGGCTTTGCCGAGGTCGATTTCTCCTACATTTAATGGATATTTTGTTATGTGTATAAATCGTTCCCCGAAATCCTTTTTCTTTTAAAAAAACCGTGTTAAAATCTATTGCGTAGTTTTAAAGATTTAAGCATACACAGGGATATAGAAACATAGAAAGCGACTTTGTTTTGAACTATTTTTTTCTTAGAACAAACGTTACTCCACACTAGGATTTTCTCCTTTGTCGTGGGTGCGTTTACAAACATACACATCACAGTCAGACCCGGAACAACATTTCGTGGATCACAAAAAGAGTTGTTCCGCGCGGGAATCGAAGCCGCGATACGTTGCGTGCAGCCCAGCCACCGCGCCAACCGTGCAGTCGTGATCTCGATACTATGTAGTGATAACACAAAAAAGTGAATTCCTATTTCAAATAAGTAGAAAGGTACTTTAGTTAGCATTTATTTACGATAGAATTTTATGGCTACGAATCAATGCTTGCCTTATTTTGAAAGGTCTATTATAATAGGCTATAAGCCTGTCGAGTTTATCGGCCTTACCCCAACCTATTTATTAGGGTAATAAATGCCTAAAACAAGGGAAATTTATTACACGAAGTTTCAGTTCGACAGGATTTTTTACAAGACATTAATGAGTTTTCTTTTTAAGTCACTGGAAGATATTATAATAATATGTTTATTATTTTCATATTAAAACTTATTCGGTAGCGGTAAATAAGAAAAAGAGGGTGAATAATAGATTTATAATATAACGAGAAGTCTTGGATTTAATTCTTGGGGCATGGGAAATTTAGTTATAATTTAAAAAAAGAATTGTTAAATATGTTGTTAAGCGCAAATGTCGAGAATAGCTTTCGTTTTCTATTTTTCGTATTGTCTTACAAGGTTTTTGTGGAAAAAAACTTTGACATTGTATAAGGGAATATCGGGAAATAGCGACCTTGCTTAATTCGTCATTAGCGGGGTAGTTTAACACCCGTGATTATTTTTGTGATCTATTCGGCTCCAAACAAAAGGCTCGCCTATCATCACCATCATCAAAATGTCAATCAGAACACGTTGCTTACCTAAAATTAACATGGACCTTACCCAGCTTTAAAGACTATGAGAAACCAAAAGTCTACCCCATTTTTAACAGGACCAAATCGTTAAATGACTTCTCCTGCCCAGCGAGATGCAGCCTCAGACTCTTACTGGTCTCACCCAACTTTATGGAGCTGAAGTAAGAACGAAACGGAATTGAGTAATCTTTTTCTGACAATCTCTTTCTTCACTCAGGGCGGGAGAATTTGTTCGATTCGTTTCCCCTAAAGAACTTAAAACACATAATAAAATACCTTTAAGGAAATCTAGATTGCCCCTAAACATATTAAATCATACCATAACAACTAACTCGCACAGCACTATCAAATATCGCTATATCGATATCAGCACACAACTTTGTCGACAGTCCTTTGTTCCCACCACTATCAGTAATGTAATAGGCTCTCGAAACTCTTCTAAGCCGTCAGCCGAGTACGCTCCTTGAAAACGATATCAATTTTCTTTACCGAAGAGTACCTCCTTGAAATTATTATCAGGGTTCCTTAGTGAAGGACTCCTTTTAACTATGTTTACTCGACATTGTCATAAAGTCCTCTTTTTCCCCAAAATGTTGGCAACGCTTTGTAATTTGTGTGGTTTTTTATGAAATAAGATGGCAAACGACTAGCTGGTTGCAGGCTGCGTCAGTTATTGTATACAGTAGGTATATAGTTCCCCCGTATACACGGGGTTACTGGGGGCCATTACTTCTATAACTACATTTTTTATGTCATCGTTTGTGCCAAAGGATCTTTCGAATAGACGCAGACTGTCTACCCGATTATGGAGATTTGGGGTTGATAGTGCTCCGGTAACCTCACTTAATTTTTTCTCAAAAAATGTTTGAATTCTTCTGCTAAATCCAAAAATAAACATTTTAGCAACAAAATCAAAATAAAATATAGTTTCATAAAAGTGATTAGTACAATCGTACAAAGACTCCAAAAAGTTTCCGGTATATTTCGGAGGTACAGAACCCAAATTTTCCGAGAGGACTCGTATACATATTTGTTCCGTTTCAAATAGATTTTTGTTTTTAGGTTCAGACTTATTGAGAAAGAGAGAAAGAGATTTCTTGTTTACTGTTTATGTTCTGTTTTTTTTTTACAATATTGTTGGAAATGTTTTTTTGATGACGGAAAATGTTTCATTTAATTAAATTTTATAGATTTTTTAACATCAATAAATTAACTTAGTCTGTTTTTATGAAGGAGGAAATATACCAAATCATTCTTCCCGCTCTTCTCGATATTGATAATCAAATTTGATAGTCAGCAATTGCAGCGGGCTACCGGGTTTTTCGTTCATCAAATTATTATTACATGGCGCTAACCTAGCAACAAGTCAATTTTCCAATCAATCTTAATGTAAAATTGAACGTCTATTGGTGTGACTTACGCTAATTTTCTATCGGTTCAAAAGACGAAGACGCTGTCGTGGTGGCCCGGAGTTTAAGGAGCTTGCTTCTCATGCACAAGGGTATGAGCTCGAAACCTGGCAAGTAC